CTTTCACATGACGAGACTGCTTCGTCTACAAGGGGGGCGGGGGGGAGGGGGTGAGGGCGGTAGTTTGCCAGGGGGCTCTACTTTCGAGGAAGATGGGGGGCGCAGGGGGTATGGGGTGTTTGGGGGCGAAGGGGGGTTCCCTTCGTTTTGTTCGCAAAGGGTGTGGAGCTGTACACTTTTGTGGTTGTTGGAGGATATGAAAAGCCAAGACAGAGAAGGCGAAATCACGTGTCACCGTCGACGACGCCTTTTTCCACTGAGCGGAAATGACATTATGGCCGCTCCGTGTGCGGAAGGAGTGTCCACTCCGGCGCAACCCAACCCGCACAAATGCAGTCCGCAGGAGGTTGTTTCTTGTACAGAAGCCCGCTGCGCCTGCTTCGCCGTGGCTCTCGTATTCCTCTCGCTGCGCGCGCTGCACCGTGTCTGGAGGGTGTTTCCCGCACAGAAGCCCGTCGCGCATGCTCCGCCATTGTAGCCATCTGGAGACGTGGAGAGCGGCCGTCATTCTTCTCGGAGCGGGTCACACTCACTGCCACGCCTGCAGACCACCACCGTAAAGCTTCTCGCCACGAAGCAACCTCGCCGCGCTACGTCGCCCTTCTCGCCGTAAAGCTTCTCGCCGCGCTACGTCGCCCTTCTCGCTGTAAAGCTTCTCACCGCGGAGCAATCTCGCCGCGCTACGTCGCCCTTCTCGTCATAAAGCTTCTCGCTGTAAAGCTTCTCGCCGCGGAGCAATCTCGTCGCGCTACGTCGCCCTTCTCACCGTAAAGCTTCTCGCCGTAAAGCTTCTCGCCGTGAAGCTTCTCGCCGCCGTTCCTGCCCTTCCCACCGTAAATCTTTTCGCCGTAAAGCGTCATCGAAGGAAGGTTCTTCTGCGTCAGCGGGGTCGTCGTCCTTCTACCCTGCACGTCTGCATCGTCGTCTTCTGCCCTGCCGTTGAGGATTCTTCCTCGTCGTCGCCGCGCCGCAGCACATCGCTGGGAGATAGGAACGGTGGTCGGCGAAGCGCTTCCAAGTGTTGAAAGGAGGGGCAAAAGGTTGTCACCACAGATCCGCGGCCAGCATGTCGACGCGAGGGACCGCCCGTGGCACGAAGCGCGATGCCGCAGCTGCCGTCGGGCTTGTGCAGGCGAAAGGAAGGCGCCATATCCCGAAATCGAAGAAGGTGCGCTCCGGTGAAGCGTCAGGAAACGTGCCTGCTCGTGGTTCCGAAGGTTGGGCGGCCGCAGCGGAAATGGAGTCTGACGACGACTTCGGGATGGAGGAACCGCAGGCGGAGGCGACGGCATCGACAGTGCGACAAAGCGCTCGCCAACGAGCTTTTGATCACATCGCGCCGAAGAGGATGCTCCCCCCTGCACCCGAGGCGCAGCAGGCGCGTGGCCGCGATGCAAGGAAAGACAAGGCTGCCGTCGTCGTGGCGGAAGGCGATGATGACGAGACGTTGGAAAGACGTCGCCAGCGCAATCTTGCACAAGATTCCGCATCCCTGTTGATGACTACACGCCTCCCGGAAAAGGAAGTCGTGCCAGAGCGACACGCAATCGAGGGCGAGGCGGCAGGTGCTGCGGGCGGGACCGCCACAATGAACTCGGCCCCCGTGGCGACGGCGAGAGAGGAGGCACCAGCTGCGGCGACGGCGAGAGAGGACGCGCGTAGCGAGAACACAACCGATCGGGAGGGCGGCGATGTTGGTCCGAGCCGGGTGCGCAAGGAAACCATGAGCAGAGAGCTCATCGATCGCGCCCTGCTCTGGGTGGATGACAAAGCGTTCCGGACGACGGGGGAGGGGCAAAGATTGTACAACATCATCCACGAGACGCGGGAATACTTCGTCGCCATCGCCAGCGGCCTTCCAACGACTGCCGTCTCTCGCAGCGTCATCCTGCCGAAGTCGAGCACCAGAGTAGCCAGGATCTCCGACCCATCGCAGCTGCAGCAAGCGATCTCCCGTGCGGCGAAAGTGGAGAACGTGGCTTTGCGCGTCCTGCACGGCTGGGTTTTCAAGTCCGGCAACCGCGCAAGGGGGTACAACCTGGCTTACCAGTACGCACTGGAGTCCGTAGCGACGGACATCGCGCGTGCTATATGGTACGCCGAGAACTGGTCCAACGTCGTCAGCGCGCCCATCTGCGGCCACACGATAGATCTCAACATGGACTTGCCACTGTGGTTCGACGTCGCCCATATCGACGACAGACCCGACGACGACGACATGGCGGCGTACCAGGAGTCGACCGTCATCTTCATCGCCCAAGCATTCCGCGCGGCGGTGCTGATGGGAGCGCACATTGACGGCGATTTCATCTCCTACGATCGTCTTTGTCGGGTGGCTGACTGCTTCAGACTTCTGTTGGCGGCGACAATATGGATAATGTGCATGGCGGGAGATGACTTCCGCAGCCACTACGAGGCATTTTACTCCGTCAACTTGCTGGCCAGGCCTACACTGGTCGCGTCCATGCATCGCTCCTTCGACCATAGACGATCCGTCGTCCGCGCCGCGAAAGCCGTCACCGAGAGGCTTGGGAAGGCGAACCCCACGTTTGGCGAGCACCCCAACTACATCCCTCAATGGGCACCATGCGGCATTACTTTCGGCCACGACGCCAGCGTAACGGGTCCGGAGGATTGCAAGAGGCTTGATTGGTTGGGTTCGGGCCCCCCCGATGACGACGGCGACGACGACAAGAAAGAAGGCGC